CACGTAAATCTAAACCTAACCCCCCCAAACCTAACCCTAAACCTAACCCTAAGCCTAACCCTTAACCTAACCTTAAACCTAACCCTCATCCAAGAAGCTTCTTCAGTTTTGACTGGATGGTGAGGAATGGAAGGATTTATATTCCTTGCAGACAGCTGGTCATTTATGTCCTTTTAGAGAGTCCTTGAGGCCACTTGGAGGTTTATCTGTATCATCAGGGTTACCTGGGTGGTTTATTTTACTTGTTATTTATTTATTCATTCATTCATTCATTCATGTATTACATTCATTTGCTATCATAAGCTGACTGGGCAGTTTACAGTTAGGGTTGGGTTCCTGCCAGTTCTAACCTCTTCTATAGAAGAGGTTCCACAAATCTACAGTGCCCTTTAGAACCGGTTCCAGTTCCCTCCACCCACCCGTCTGCACGTCATCAAGATGAAGAGCGAGATGAGGAATTCTGGGAGTTGAAGTCCACAAGTCTTAAAGCTTTCAAGTTTGAACACCCCGGGAGGTTTTTTTTCTAAAGAGTTAGGGGTGCAAGGATCTTGTAACTTGACAGCTTTAAGACTTGCACACTTCAATGCCAGAGTTCCTGAGCCAATATTTTGGTTGTTAAGCAAGAGCGTTGTTAAGTGAGTTTCACCACATTTTACAAGTTCGTCACTTCCACCTAGTCACATGACTTCCAAGCTACTCCCACTTGGTCACATGGCCAGCAAGCCACTCCCACAAAGTAGGCCACACCTACAGAGGAGATACTAAAACATTTTGAAACCCACCACTGTTTACAGTGTTAAAAAAAAGTAATACAACAACATATATACAACAAGCATAAGAAAGAATAGGTTCAGGGATTTATTTAGTGAGGGACCCCAATCAGGATATTTGGTTTTGTAGCCCCCCTCATCAAACTTATTTTTTTTGTCAGATGTTGTGTTCCACTTAAAACAGTCTCCAACCTTTGTATCTTGGCAGCTCAGCAGGGGGATGGGGNATCATACAAATGAAACTCTTATTGTCTGATAATGTCAATTTTATTATTTAGCCCAAGGGCAAATAAATGCCCCTAGTTTGGCAAAATATAACCCTGAAGAGTAAAACTGTGCTCCAAAATACAGATTCTGAACACCACTGGTTTGAAGCAGAAAACATGCATTAAGAATTATTTTAAATGTGATTGCTTTTTAAAAAAGAATTCAAATGGAAGTTGGCTGACCACTCTTTCCTAACTCAGAATTCTTGCACAATTGTTGTCATCACTGACTTTAAATGGAAAAAAACCAAGGGACGCTACAGGTTAGCTATGCTAACAGCAAATTCTGGTGATGAATATTAAAATAACTAGACTCAAGATAGAACTGCCAAGAAAGTGATCTGCAAGCTCTCATTAACCCAAAGATTGAAGAATCATAAAAAGCGATCTTCTAAAAATATCAAAGGACGTCACAATTTCCCAATTACTCAGAAGATTAAATATGTCCACAAACCGTGCATTAAAATGTCAAGTAGAGGGGAAAAAAGGAATTCTGTTAGTGGCTAGAATATATGACAAAACCAAGGAGTGGTGCAAATTCCACTTTTTATTTATCTAGCATCAAGCTGCATGTTTGTTTTTTAAATGACCACCCGCAGGTGTGCAATCTGTACATATACAGTATATGTGCACATGTAATTCTATTTTAATTTTGTACCTTTTAAAGATCTTTTGGGGGTCTTCTTGCTAGTGTTCTCTGAGGCCATGGGAACCTCATCAGGATTTCCCCCTTCTTCTTCAATAGCCTGTCAGGAGGGAACAGTGTGAGGTTTTACAGCAAGAGCACAACTGGTTTCTGAATTGTCCAGGAAAAAAAAGGCCTTCTTTGCTCTACATCCCCAATTTCCTCTGTTCACATGGATACCCAAACCTATTTCCGTTTTGCTTTTCTCTCATAGACTGATTTATTCTTTTCCTAGTCCTTATTTGCCTCTGTTAATTTTTCATTCTTCTCCCTGCTGACATGATCTAAATCTTCTCTTCCCCTAAACTACGGTACTTCAATTATTTCTTCCAGGTCACCTTTTCTTATTGTAATACCCCCACCTCTGCTTAAGATATATGCTTTCCATTTGCCTTTTTGTCTTCCCTTAATTTTTCCCTCATATTGCCATGACTGCTTTACATGCCATTTTAGAAAAACAATATATATTTTCCAAACAGGCAAATAACTTTATTGTAAAATCTAATATAGTAGTTCCCAACCTTTTATTCACCGTGAACTCCCTTTAAATAACTTGGGACCCCCAAGACCTAACTCAAGATTTAAATCATAACATTTCATCAAGACTTCGCTGTGATGAAATCACAGCTCTCCAGGGGTCCATGGACCACAGGTTGAGAACCCCTGGACTAATAATTTCTCTCTTTCTATGCCTCAACTCACCCTATTTCCCCTACCCATTTCTCTTATTGTTCATCAAACCCTCATCTTTGCTTATTATTGTAGAATCTCATTATTCCTTTTTCTGGATTTTAATTCCAGCCATCATTTCCCACATAAATTATTTCTAGCTCTACTTTTCTTATTTCCCTCACTTATCAGTCCCTTCTCCTCTGCAGAATGCTCTGGCTTTCCTTCTCCCTTTCCAATTCCAAAGTCACATTTTCCATTTATACTTTCACTGTCAATAATTTGCCTACTTCATCTCATAACCTTATTCTGCTGAATCTGACCAAACACCCAACAAGACAACAGCGATCACATTCATATTAACCATTGCTGTTCCACAGGGATATATTAAAAAGGAGGGATAAATAGCTACTGAAAGAAACAGGATCATAAAGTACACCAAAACAAACATCAAATAGAGCATACATTTTTATTCATTCCATTCTCTTTAGGATCCATTCTTTGTTTTAACTATTGCTACTTATTGCTGTTGCTAATTTCAATGGAGCCAGTTGAATCAATCATCATTCTTGGTTCCCAGTGTTTCCTACAGACCTTTTAGTGTAAGATTTAGAGACATCATACTTTGAAATTAGTATTCAGTGATGACAGAATACCTGATTCTGGAGGCTAGTGAACAGTAGTTTTTGAAACCTTCATATGAATGATAATATAGCCTTATGAAGAGCAATGAATTCAGGAAGCCTATGCCTTAGCTTACTAGATTTTTAGTTGTTCCTGTTAGCCTTTTCCTCCATAGATTTCACTGTACCAGAATGCAAGTTCACCCACCTAAATTACGGTAAATGATGCAAAATTAAAAGCAGAGAAAGACCCAAATTCACAAAAATTAAGGCTATTAAGGTATAACCACTTCCAAGTGCCAGTTGCTGAAAATAGGAGCTAGAAAGTACTAAACATTTGTATCCTACTGGTAGTCTTCCCAGAGGCTTTGCAGAAAACAAGATGCAAGATAACAAGAGCCTTTTGCTTGATCCAGCTGATCTCTCCTTAGGGAGATTTATCATGATTACAAAATTGGTCTACTATATACACTGCAAATCCTACCATACATCATTAACTGCTAGGAACAAGAGAAGACTATGTCCCAAAGGTCTTTTTCAAGAGGCAACTGGACTTTCCAGTTTTTTATTTGAAGAAGTTTCCTTCAGTTTCTCAACCAAGAAGCTTCTTCAGCTCGGACTAGATGGTGGGGAATGGACTCAGGTGACTATTCAGATAACATGGCTTCAACAACTCTCTCAAAGAATGTAAATGACCAGCTGCCTGCAATGAATAAAAATCCTTCCATTCCTCACTATCCAATCAGAGCTGAAGAAGCTTCTTGGATGAGAAGTGAAATGACTTCAAAGAAAAAAATCCAAAAGTTCAGTTGCCTCTTGAAAAAAAGCACCTTTGGGACAACTATGACCTGGAAGACTGAGAATCTCCAGACATTAAGAAAAGGCTGTGATGCACAGGGCTTTCCAACAGAATAAAGGATGCTGAACCGAAGGGCCTGTGTTAAGTTACATTCCCATTGACCCATCTTGACTTCCCCTCAAATCACTTGCCCCTTTTGATTTCAACACCCCATCCAGATCCAGTGACTTTGGATTAGATGCTAACCATCATTCTCAGCAGGAAAAGGCTGTGGGATGGGGATGCAGCCCCTCTTTGGAAACTAAGGCTAGCTCAACCCCTGTCCTCTTGTGGATGGATTCAATTCTCAACGGCCCTTAAACCTGGCTGACAGGTGGTGTAATGTTTCCTCTCTGGAAGACCAGCAAGTTGGGGCAAGGCTGCCTTGAATGCTGCCCTCCAGGGAGAATGAGCTCAACCTCAGAAAATGGCTAATAATGGAAGTTGTACCAAAGATACCTTTGGGACAAGCATGACCTAGATGACTGATATCTCCATAGACAATGGGAGTTGAAGTCCACTCTGTGCTGTGAGGCTGCTTGAGTCCTTCCCTCCGGTGAGACGGGACTTCAGTTCCCATCATCCTCCCAAGTGGTACATGGGAATTGTAATCTGTCATGTCTGGAAGGCTGCTTTAAATCCTCCTTTCTAGTGCTTGTCTCAATTCCTATCCCCGCAAGGCTGGCTGATGGGAATCGTCACTGGAAGGCTGTCTCCACAGAGACAGCACTTCGACCCCCATCATCCCCAAGGCTGGCTGATGGGAGTCGTAGTCCCTGGAAGGCTGCTTCCACAGAGATGGCACTTCAACCCCCATCATACCCAAGGCTGGCTGATGGGAGTTATAGTCCCTGGAAGGCTGCCTCCAGAGACAGCACTTCAACTCCAATCATCCCCAAGGCTGGCTGATGGGAGTCGTAGTCCCTGGAAGGCTGCTTCCACAGAGATGGCACTTCAACCCCCATCATACCCAAGGCTGGCTGATGGGAGTTATAGTCCCTGGAAGGCTGCCTCCAGAGACAGCACTTCAACTCCAATCATCCCCAAGGCTGGCTGATGGGAGTCGTAGTCCCTGGAAGGCTGTCTCCACAGAAACAGCACTTCAACTCCCATCATCCCCAAGGCTGGCTGATGGGAGTTATAGTCCCTGGAAGGCTGCCTCCAGAGACAGCACTTCAACTCCAATCATCCCCAAGGCTGGCTGATGGGAGTCGTAGTCCCTGGAAGGCTGCCTTCAGAGACAGCCCTTCAACCCCATCATCCTCAAGGCTGGCTGATGGCAATCGGTGCCACTGGA